ACGATGGCGGACCTCTTGCGCCATCTGCGGCTCCTGATTCTGACTGTTGGGTGGGCAACCTCCCCCGTTGAGCGCGGTATTCAGCCATGACCCCAGCAAAATGATCCGCTCGAAAAGATGTATTGCGTACGACTCGGGAACATTCTTGTCGCTCGCGTTGCACAGTCAGTGCGATACCTTCACGACCAATGCGGTACAGCCGCCTCTCTCCTTTTATCTTCCTCTCTCTTTGTCTCGATCCGCAGAGACCTGGCTAACATTGTCAGAGACGTCCGTCGCCAGCCACCATTCCATCAGCTCGCGGTCCTAGGTCCTCAGACCGTAGCCTGCGCAGGTAATGCAGCCACGACCCGGGGATGGCAATCCTGGACGATGCCAAGACCCACCATCGTCGCCAGGGCTCCACGCGCGGTTCGCCTGGGTACTGCAAAATGCCCGCTATGGCGCCAAATGACTTCGAGTCTTGACGATCCAGCCAGCCTGTCCATCAAAAGGTGCTTCTGGGCGTGCGCCCTCAAAGAGTTGACGCGCTTGGCTCTGCAAGTTCTCGAAGCGGAACTTGAGATCAGACAGAGTGGAAGGTTGTGATGTGATCCTCGCTTGTACATAATGGTGGATCAACTGTACCGTTCAGTTCACGTCGGAAAAATGAGGAAACCGCCGGATCTGAGCCACGCCAAGCTACCTTTCGAGATCTTGGACGGCTTGGCCCTGCTGCACACGCGCACCGGCCGGAGCTGTGGACGGACGTCAAATTACAGTGTGTGAGTGTGAGTGAGTATGACTGCTGGCTGCTCGAACGACAGCCAGAGCGCATACCGGTACATGCATGGTCAGCTGCATGTGGAGATTTGGTGACATGTGCGAGCGGGCAAATGGCATGCAGCTTCCGCGCGTACACCTACAGTATACGGCACCACACCGCTGATCAGCCATCATGAGCATGCATACTCACGACTCACGACTAAGATCTCGATCGGCACCCTGGCCTTGAGACCTCTGCACAAACGGCTGCATGAGGAAAGACATCACCGGACCACGCAAGTCCGTGGCAGAGCAGTCGCGAATGCGAGCAAAAGAAGTCGTGAGTCGTGAGTGGTTCGAACGCACGAGCTCCAGCAGACGCGCAAGGCCGCTGCGAAGATGACGTTCAGTCTCGTAACAGTCGCACACTCGGACTGAGCCGCTAGACTAGGCCACGATCAGCAAGACTGCGTTC